ACACAGGTAGCCAGATGTTTCATGGAGACAGAAGGCCTCTTTGCCGTAGAGGCTGCCACACACCTGGATCCCTTTTCTAATATCAGGACCAAGTTACCTGTTTGCAAACCTCAATGTCCCCTTCCCATCTCTCTGCCACTGTTCTCTCTTTCTCCCCCACTCCTGAATCCATTCATTCCTTCATACAATCATATGACAAACATTCAATGACATTTATCCGCAGAAGGAATGTTCTTCTCCATTGGAGAAGTCATCACCTGGGTCCCAGTCTCACATAAAGACCTTCCTTCAGAGGAGAAAGGTTTTCTTTTCCCTGAGGATCCCCCACCTGCAGCCCCGGGAGTTCTCTGCCTGGCAAGGCAAATGCAACCCTTTCGAGATTAATGTGTCTAACCAAAGTCCCTGGAATTTCTGACTTTCTTCTGGCTCTGAGCAATCACACGCACACACACAGGTTCATGGTTCCCTTTGAGAAGGCATCATTCGTTCATTCAGTAAATAGTCCCTGAGCATTCACTGAGGTAACCACAGGGAACCAGTGGTTGTCTGGGCTGTCTACACCTGGAGTGACCAACTCCCCCATCTCAGGAAGGGCCCCCATTTCTCCATCATCCCCCAGGCACCCAAGCAGACACAGCAAATCATCCTCAACGCCTCCCTCTTCCTCGCCTTCTACATCTGATCCATCTGTCCTGCTTCTTAAATATCCCCTACATAGCCCACTCTGTTCCTCAAACCCACTCAGCATGTTCCTGCCCCAGGGCCTTTGCACTCTCTGCTCCCTCTACCTAGAGTCCTTCTCCCAGCTCTCACCCAGAGAGCTCCCTTCCTCCAGTCTTTGCTTATAGGTCGCCTTCTGACCGAGGCCTCTGCAGCTGCTATATCTAAATGTTCAGTCTCCACCTACACTTGGCCTCTGTTCCTTCCCTTGCTGTTACCTAATACACTCGACCATTACGTTTGTGTCTACTCGTCTAGCAAGAAAGCTCCCTGAGGACAGGCAATGTTGGCTCCACCCCTCTATCCCCAACACCCAAAATCTGGTACACAAGGGACATCCAATAAATGCTTGTTGCATCAATGAACGCAGCCTCTCACCCTGTTCTCCATCGCTATCGCCTTCATTTAGCCCCCTCATCTCCTGCCTCAGCCTCCCATGCTCCCCTGCCTCCTGCTGCCCACACCTGGTCCGCCCTGTACTCTGAGAACAGGAAGACCTTCCTAAAAGGATAAAAGCTGACCATGTCGCTCCCCTGCTTAAAATCCTCCAAAGGGCAGTTTGGATGCAGGGAGCTCACTACCTCACCGGGCCTCCTAAATTTCTCGGTCTCAACATTGTCATCTGCAAAATGGGGATTTGTTTTGAGATGCCATGAGCCCACAGTACATGGCCGCGGTTAGCAGGTGCGCCATAGGCGCCAGGACATCACGTGGCGTCTCCCACAGGCCAGCCCACCTCTGCAGCCCCTCGCTGTCTGCGGTCTATGACTGGAAGGCTGAGAGCGCCCGGTCCGTCTGCCGCGCATGCGCCGAGCCGCCCCTTGCCTGTCGCCTCCGCAGAGCCCGGCTCTCGCCGCAAGGACCCCCGAGCGCGGAGCTGCACCCCTTAACCACACACTCAGTTGCCCGGGTCTGAGTGACGCAGTGGGCCCCAGAGTGGAGGTATTCCGGGAGTGGGACGTGAAACGGAGTGGGAGTGACGTGGACTTGTCGCACACCGTTCGGCCACGTGGGGGTACCGCCGCCCGCCCTCCAGGTCCTAGCCAGACAGTCCAGTCGGAGATGAGTCACAGGCAGGACCGCGCCTCGCCTCGGATGCTGGGCTCCAAGATGGGCAGGCAGGGAGAGGCGTGACCTCTCCCCACCCCCCACCCCTACGTCCCTGCTCCGGAACTCCTCTCCCAGCAAACCGCAGTCTCAGCCCGTCTGTTCCAGACCTGTCCACCCACTGCCCCATCACTGTATCCTTACAGCAGCTCTGGGCACATGTGGGCGGACCAGGGTGGGCACTTGCTCGCATAGACACCCGACATCCAGCTTGTCTGGATGACCCCAACAGAAGCTCCACCCAAGCAGAGGGTCTGATGCCACCAGGAAGTGGTTTTCCTGTCCGTCCCCATGCTAAAGCCTCAAGTGGGGGAGGGGAGGAGGAATCAGACAGTGAGGTTGAGAAGCCTGTTTTAAGATCCGAAAAGCCCCTCCTCATGTTTTCCAAGGGTTTTGTGGTGGTAAATTCCGAGGGTAGGTGGTTGGTAAATATTTGAATAAACCAATGCAAGCCAGGGATGTTGGGAGAATGCAGCTGGAGGATGGTTTGTGTGAAATACTGATGGAGTTACACAATGTGGGCAACAGTACCCTTAGCTACCATCAGCATCGTTGTCACCAACGATATCAGGGAGCATCTCAGCTCCTTACATGGGTGTCCTTCTCAGGAAGTTGAGTATCGTTGAAAGGCAGCCTCAACACGGAAGTCGTGCATTAGCATCAGGCCAAGGTGGATTTGTTCTAGACTTTAAATGTACGTGTGAGTGTCCCCTCAGTGCCCAGCCCTTAGCAGGTTGCCAGAAGCCACACTGGTTGTCTGTACCCTCAAGGAGCTAATAATCTAGAACAAGTTAGAACCAGAGTTGTCCTGGAAGGATGTCCCGGTGCTGTGGAAGCACAGCCAGAGTGACTGTTCTGTCTCCAGCAGTCGAAGCAGACTTCACTGAAGAAATTTCTTGAGCTGTGTGTTGACAGATAAATAGGAGTTTGCCAGGAGAGGGAAAAAAGAGCATGCCACAGAGAGAGAACAGCCCCCAAGTGTTCAGGAAGTCCAGGAAGCAGACCAGCCAGAGCACCAGGGGTGTCAGATCTCTGTGGGGTGTCCTTGGCAGTAACTAAAGAGGTAGACAGGCCCCCAAGGCTGTGGAGGTTGGGGTAGAAGCCAGGACATTTTCCTGAGGGCACTGGGGAGCTACAGAAGGGTTTTCACCAAGGGAGTGACATGATCCATTTTGCCTTTAAGAAAGACCTCTCTGGAAGCAGCACTAGAGATGACCTGTCAGCCCACTTATGTCCCCCTCCAGATGCACACGCGGCCACGTTGCACACGGGCACACCCACAGACATGAACACAGACACATGTATATACTTATATTTTTAGAAGTGTAGATCCCAGGGCCTGAGATTTCTTTGTGAATTTTCTGGTGTGAAATCACAGTTCTCCAAGCAGCCTACCACACCATGGAGACTTCTCTACCAGGTCTGGGAGATCACCTCCTACCCTCACTTCCCCCACCAGAACTCTCGAGTTGGTTTCTCTGGGGACTTAGAGTGGCATTAGGCCAGCCTGGGGATTCACACCAGGGAAGGCTAAGCTGGAAGGAGCCACCTGGAGAGAAGGATTCCCAGGTCAGCGGCAGCGATGGCTTCCTCCCTCCCACCCTCTCGGCCAGTAGTTTTCTGTATAAAGCCCTTGTCCTCACAACAGGTGAAGTGTTCTCCCCCTGCTTCCCTGGTGAGGATGCCGCAGCTCAGAGAGGTGAAGTGCTTTGCCCAAAGTCACACTGCCAGGAAGTGGCAGAGCTGATATCAGTACCCAGGGGTTGGACTTCTGAGCCCACGCTCTCCAGAGATAGGTCTTTGATTCGTTTATTGAATAGAAAAGCCAGATATTAGTCGGTGCAGTTTGGTGAATGGGCCCCATCAAAACATGGGACCCATTTGGAGGAAAAAATATAAAATAAAAGGGACCCCTGGGGGGGACAAGGGTGGGAGCCTCTGGCCTGCCTCTTACAGGAAAGTTCTGTCCACGATGTCATCCCCAGGATCAGGGAAGCTGACTGCCTCCCGACACTGGAGGGGACAGGCTCGTTTCCCATGGGCTCGTGGCTGCCAGCTTTCCCCTGTAAGACCCCTCTGGGTTCCCCATCCATGGTCCTTGCTCAGCAACCCCCAAGGATGCAGTTTGGTTTCTGCAAGTCAAGTGACCACACTGCCTAGGAGATAAGAACCATCTCTCCCTGCTGTTCCCACAGCCTCAGTCACGCTGGGGCTTAGGGGAGACTGAGGCAGATCAGATCTTTAGCAGCATGGGAGGGTGGGTTACTTTTTGAAAATGTTTCCTCCATTGCAAATAGGTGCTAGAGTGACCTGGCACTCCCTTACTGCACAGACATCCAGGCGTCACACCAAGTTCATATAGGGGGTGTAGGGAGAGTTGGGGAGGAAACATTTTCATTCTCTAGGCGTTTATTTCTGAACTGGACCTTTATTCTGTACTGTAATTTAATATATTAGGGGCCGTCTAAGGGAGTGTGCTGGCTGACAGTGTGGGCTTTGGAGTCTAACAGACCTGGGTTGTTATAGTCCCAGCCTGTAAATAGAAGCTGTGTGACCTTGGACAAGCTACATCACCTCTCTGAGCCTCAACTTCCTTCTTTATAAGATGAGATTGAAAAGAGCATCCTCCTCTTAAAGTTGTTGGGACAATAGTAATAATAATATGGTTTGAGCTAGGCATCTGTGAACACCCTTCTAAAAGCCAGCTGTGGGACCTTGAACTAGCCCCTCACCCTCTCCAGGTCTCAGTTTCCCCTTCTGTGAAATGAAGACATTGGGCTGACCTTTAAGGGTCCTTCTAGTCCTGACAGTTATAAGATGCTCGGGATGTCATGGTCCATGGCAGTTGTCCAAGGCAGTGGGATCTCACGGGTTCACGAGACAGGAGAACTCTGTGGCATGTCTCATTCCCACTCAAGAGCCCCCCCAGGAGAGATATTCCCCCTTCCACCCACCATGGGGACCCCAGCACAAATTTGCCCCGCCCCTGCCCCAGCACCTCCATGTTCTGTAGCCCAGAGCTCCCCTAGGCCCCCGCCCGGAGTAGGCACATGCTCTCAAAGTCACCATCCTCTCCCCGGAGGTTGACAGCCAGGGTACACGAGTGCCCAGCCTGCAGGGTCCGTGCGTGCCGTGTGGGCGCCTCCATCACCTGCCTGTTTGTGTCTCTGCAGGTGAGCGGAGGGTCCTTCCCTGTGAGAAGTCAGAGCTGTGCACGTGGGCAGGCTGGCTCCGCTGTTCTGCTCCAAGGATTACATGTCCTTCAAACGCCCCTGCCCCTGTAAGTCTCCCCCGCATCCTCCTGTGGCTGGGGGCCGGGAGAGGGCAGAGCATGGAGTGGGGGTTGCAGAGACTGTCTCTAGGATGTTTGGCCGAAGAGCGCCAAGGGTCTGATCAGGGGCTGATGTGATGCGATGGGTGGAGGGAGGGCAACACAGAAGACCCAAGAGATGTTTTGCCACTCCTTCTGTAGCAGCACTTCCCAAAGTGTGGATCAGGCTTCCTCCTAGGGATATTAATGGGGTTACTTTAAAAACAAAATTCCATGGCCAAATGAGTGTGGGAAATGCCGAGTGAGACAAGTTAAGTAGATTTTTCTACTTCAGGACTTTTCAAAGCCTTTAATGTGGTGATGTGTGTTGTGAGGCTCCCGTAGGAAAGAGAAAGCCCAGTGGTGTTCCCACATTTAATTGACCACAAGGAACGTCTCACGGGATTGGTGCTCCACAGAACACATTCCTTGGAGTTCTGTGTCCTGAGGAAACCCTTCCTGGAGCATCCCCACCATGAAGCCCCTAGTTTACTAATTCATTTCCTCTAATGAAGCAATTAGAGGATTTCACCCATAACATTCTTGTCATGGCTCCTTGATGCCCACGAGTCCAGGCAATGGACTGAGTCAGGTGTCCCCCTGGGGCTCAAGGCTGCAGCCCGCTTTGGCTGATTCCTCTAGTCTCCAGCAGCCCTGCCTTCACCGACTCATGCTGGGGACCCTAACCCCAGGGTCCCCTTCACCTCTCCCCATGGCAGCCCCCTGCTTCCTCCCGTGCTGTTCCCTGAGCCCCCCCAAACCACCATCACTTGCTACAATTTGGAAGGACATGCCTAACCTCCCATGCCTTCTCCTTGATGAGTCGGAACTGTGAGTCTGTGTGAAATCAGGACCCCACCTTAGCCCCCTTTTCTACTTGTCATCTCCCCTCTCCCACTCTCACTCTGGTAATGCCTCAGCCCCACTCACCAATATCTTTTCAGATTTGTACCATTGGTTGCATTTCACACATCTTGGGGTTGGGGGCCTCTCTTCCAAATAGTTGAAACCCCAATTGTTAAATCTTTGAGAAACCCCAATTGTTAAATCTTTGAACATCAAGGGGCTGCTGCAGTGGGGGGGTAGGGGGAGCTGGCGTATCCCATCTGGGTGGGATCATCACCAGGCATGCCCAGGGGAATAAGGTGGCAGTGAGGTTCACTGTGCAAAGAGTTTAGGGGGGGTGGGGGAGCCCAGCCTTGGCTACCATGGGTACCCAAGGAGGGCACAGGTCAAGAGCTAATAAGAGCATTTCTGATGGACAGTAGAAGCTCAATAAGTTATTGTTACTGTTGTCCTGTGGCTGCTGTTATGGCTAATCAAGAAATCAAAGCCCAGTCCCAGGCCGGGTGAGAAGGCTGCCATTGGAGCACGTCGGAGCCCAGGGACATTGCCCCACAGAGGGCTTGCGGGGTGGTGTCCTCACCCCTATGAGCAGTTGGGAGTGGAGAAGCCTGGGGCTGCTGAGTGTGGAGGGCTTTCCAGAACCTTCTGGGGGCAAGCCAGGCCCTTCAGAGCCCTGTGTGTCTGCAGTAATAGAGACCATCGCCCCAGGACAGCCCTCTGCTATATATATATCCACCTCCTGAGGACTCCAGGGTGTGGTCATGGATATTCTGGGCTGTTCAGAAGCGGTTCCTTTACACCTCTGAAGTCCCCCCTCCCCGTACAGGCCTGGTGCCTGGCATGCAGTAGGCACTCAATAAATGTTTGTTGAATGAATACATGTATAGTCCAACGCTCTAGATGAGGAGCTGGAGGCGGTGGATGGGGGGAGCTGAAGCTCCTGACTCTGCCGCCAGGTTCTCTCCGTGGCTTTGGCCAGCCAGTCACCTCTGACATGAAGGGTGGTCAGCCCAGGGGGTTCCAGGAGCTCAGGGCTGCTGTGAGGCTCCTTGGGAGGAGAGAGGAGCACAGGTGGGCAGAACCCCAGTCCCCCCACCCCACACGTTGCTTCACATGGGGTCTGCTCAGATCTCATCTGGAGAAGGGGTCCCAGGCGGTGGCAGGCCCGGTGCTGTGGGGTGTCCGGGCTCACCCTTCCTCCTCCATCTCACTCCTTCTCTGCTGGATTTTCTCCTCTTGTCATCCAATCCAGCTCTTTCCCTTTTCTCCAAACTTGTCTGAGAAGTGCTCACTGTCCCCCTGTTCACCCCCAGTCTACTTCAGTCTGGCTTCTGCACCCCCACCCCAACACCTCATCCACTTCTGTGTCGCTAAATCCATCCCAGAGTTTCCAGTTCTCAGCTGCATCTGACCCTGCGGTCACTTCGCTTAGCTGATGACTCCTCCTTGGGTTCCCTGACTCTGAGCCCTCCACGCTCTCCTGCAGCCCCTCTGGCCGTCTGCACTGACCGCCCATTCATGGTCTCCTTTGGTGGTGAGGGAGGGCGGATTCTTCCCGTACCTGCCCTGGGATGCTGGGCCCCCCAGGACTCCAACCCCACCCTTGCCCTTCCCACTGCCCTGAGCACTCCAGACCCCCTCATCCTCAGTCTGCTCTCAGCTGCAGCCTCTAGGCTGGCAGCTTAAGACTCTCCCACCCCTTTCTGCCTGAGCTTCCGATTTCCTCCTCTGCCTTGTGCTGCCTGTCTCCTGGGCAGTCCTCACCCCAGCACCTCTGATCCAGCTTGTCCCAAACTGAACTGTTTGTCTTCCCCTCCAAGCCGGCTTTGCTTGATTTTGCTCTGTTGGTTTGGAGCATAACCATCAACTCAGTCCCTCAGGCCAGAAATCTGGGAGTGACCCGAGCTCCCCTCTGACACACCCATTACTGCCAACCACCCAAGGGGACCCTGGGGTTTCCCAGTTAGGTCAACAGATCTCCATCCTGACTTCGCCCCATCCAGGCCCCCTCGTCAGACCCAGCCTGGAAATCGCTGCCTCAGTAAGTGTTCATTGAATAACCGGACAAGAGGGAGAATCAAGAGGAGGCAGATGCCTGTGGGCAGCCTCCTGGGCTCGCAGACCAGAGGCCCTCAGGCAGGTTCTGGAGGGGCCGCAGAAGCACAAGAGCTCCAGCTGTCCAGAAAACACGCGACATGGGAACACTGAGGAAGGGAACCAGAAGTGCCAGGAGGGCCCTGCCGAGGACACACGCCCTCTTTCTGAACACCTTCTTTCCTGCTCTGTGAATTAAGACACCTGACAGGGAATTGCTTTAGCTCCTAGCTCACAAAATCATCCTGCTCCGTCGGTACGTGTGAAGGTACCCAAGCCCATTAAAACCTGGAAAACAGGGTAGGAGCCAAGGCTTGTTCCTATTTGGGTTTCTCTACCTCTACTCCCTCCCAATTGAGAAGGGCAAAAAGAAAAGTCCCCAGAAGGAAAAACAAGCCCCAAAGTTTCCCAAGCAAGACCCCACCCCAGGAGTTAGGTCTCCGGAGCTGGAGGAAAGAGCTGAGGTCGACCAGGCAGTGGGGAGCAGGGCGGCGGGCACGGGGCTGCCCAGCTTGCACAGCTTCAGACACTGGGCGATGTGGGACCGTCCTCTGGCCTCTCAAGGGTCGGGCAGGCGTGAATCAGGCCAGGCTGGGCCGGCCCCTCCCAGGCACTGTCTACACCCCAGCATCCCCCAACCCGATCTCACCTTGCAGGTGTTTGAGCTCATCAGCCCCTCATAGAGACAGCCCCAGCAGACCTCATGGCCCCCGCCCCCCAGTTCAGCAGTGAGAAGACTAAGACAGAGGGAGGGGGCAAGAACAGGGAGGAGGAAGGCAGGGGAACCCCTGACCCAGGGGGGTTTTGGCCACATGGCTGCGAGAGGGAAGTCGGGTCTTCTACCTGCAAGTGCCAGGCCTGTGAACCATTTTCCAGCCTTAAGCACTGAGTGAGAAGAAGGAGGACCAGCCTGGCTCGTCAGGAAGGCTGGAGGCGTGGGAGCCTTCTCCATCTGGCCCCAGCTGGGCAGAGTGGCCCAGGATTCCCCGTGACCCAGGCTCCAAGGACAGATGCTTCACAACCTCTTCTTCACCCCCTGCAGATGGCAGCTCCATGGAGCTCCCTGTGACATGGGGGTGGCCTGCCTCCCTCTGGCCTTGGGGAACAGATCTGGGAGAGGAGGGGCTTTGGGTCCCTAGGGGAGACTGAGCCTGTAGCAAAGCAGGAAGGAGGGCAGAAAGTAGCATCCATTGATCCGTGGAGAAGTCAGATGGGGCTTGTCTCTGCTAAGCTCCCAGGCTGCCTGCAGGTTGGCAGGAATCACAGCCTGGCAGAGCCTCTGGGTGGGCCTGGGTCTCCCTCAAAGTCAGCGTGATGTGGTAGACGGTGCTTGGGTTCGAGTACAACCTGGCACTGACATTTACCAGCTGTGTGGTCTGGAGCAAGCTACTTAATGTCTGGAAACCTCAATTTGCTCATCTGTGAAATAGAAATAGTCATACTAGCCTTTTGGTTTGATGCTCAGATTTGATGTGCCACAAGGAGAATCTAGCTTGGTGCCAGGCACAGAGAAGGTGCTCAAGAAACTTGAAAGCCTTGTCCTCTTGACCACCCTCTCTCTACACAGCTTAATATTACTCGAGTCTTTGGTGATAGAGCAGGGAAAATGGAGAGAGCTGGGGACTTTGGCGATGAATTTGGGGTTTGGACCACATACTGCTGTTTTCTACTCTGCTCACTGTAACCGTTGCCTCTGCAGAGACTTAGCTGTCAACAGAAGGAAGGACTTGAGGGCAAGGAGGGCAAATGAAGGGACACACCCCACCATTTACCACTTCTGTGCCCAAAGCAGACATCATGAATCAGTTGCAGCACTCTTTCCTACTGAGCCTGGATACAACCTCAGACTCTCTTTAAACACATGCAGGCACTACCCAAGGATAGGCAATACCCTGTGAAATGAAACCTTTGCCCATTCCTGGCTGAGGTCTGACTTTGGAGTGGGCAAGGGAATAGAAGGAGTGACTTCAGCTAGTCACTTCTCTCTCGGCCTCAGTTTCCTCATCTGTAAAATGGGAGTTGATAAGAGT